ACAGCTCCTCTGCATCCGACGCTGCTAATGACATGCTGTCATCGAGCAGCTCATCCCCACTTCCCCCGAATGAGATCAGGTTGCTCTCACCAGCAGAGGGACGCTGATCAGACCGGGAGAAAAGGACGGGGGAATACTCTCTCTGCGGCGAGAGCGAGGCACGCGGGATCTGGGCCGGCGTGAGCTCCCTCGTAGCCGATCGCTCGACCCCTTTGCCCCGCTGTTTTTTCCTCACAGGTCCCTGGGAGGAAGGAAACGGGAGGAGTTGCTCTCTGTAAAGAAAGCGATCCATGAGCGGAGAGAGGTGAGACTGAAGCTCTTACAATGAGAGCAATTAGCTCCCGTGAGCGCAGCTTCCGCATGGGATTTCCCCAAGCAGGAAACACACTCCGGGTGGCCGTCATCGGCGAGCAGGGGGGACCCGCATGAACCGCAATAACGGTGCGGCATTTGCAACAACGCCGATGCTCTTTTAGAAGCTCTTTTAGAAGTCGCCGAATGGCGGCAGGGGAACCGGACCGGAATTGTTGTGTCGCTGGAGTGGCGGAGAAGCAGGTCATAAGCAGGAAACACACTCCGGGTGGCCGTCATCGGCGAGCAGGGGGGACCCGCATGAACCGCAATAACGGTGCGGCATTTGCAACAACGCCGATGCTCTTTTAGAAGCTCTTTTAGAAGTCGCCGAATGGCGGCAGGGGAGCCGGACCGGAATTGTTGTGTCGCTGGAGTGGCGGAGAAGCAGGTCAGCCGAGCTGAGAGGTCCCGATTCCAGCTGTGAAGGCATGTTTCGGATCAGGTTTCGGATCAGCTTGAGACTTAGAGTCGTCGCTGAAGGAGAAAAATCTGAGAATCCTGTGGCGAGCGCCCGCTTATGTAGCCAGATGCCCCGCCCATTCTGGCCATGCAGTTTCACTGCGTGAACGAAATAGGCTTCACAAAAAAGGCTTTTTTCCCATATGTGTCTAGCAAGACGCAGTACGAGTGAAGTATCGAAAGGGAACCTAATTTCTGTCTAGGAGAAATAATTGAAATGTTAAAGAGATCTCTTTTTTATTTAATTTTTCTTCCCTCTGGTTAGCTTCAATGTCATTTATCCACACCATTTCAATCAAAGACAATACATGCATTGTCATATTTGAAGTTGTTTTATGTACAGTGTTTTATTGCACAATGATTTAACAGAGGAAACCATAACCTATATTTATATACATGCAAAAATGTGCTGTACAAGACAAAATGTTAATGCTAAACAAAGTAAAAAAAAAACAAAACACACGGGTACACTGGTAAAGTGTTACAATTTTTCTTTTAAAGTATTGCTCTTATGCTAAATATCTTGCACTTGTTAGTCCTTTCTAGTGTGTTTGGAAAATGTGGTGTATATACAATGCTGGACATTGAAGATCAGTTTAAACATTTAAACTAGTAGCCCTTGATATTCTGAAATGTTTGATGCTATTTAAATGATAGTTTTAGTATTTACAATATTAGTCAAAGTTTAACGTTTCTCCTAAAATAAAACTGAAGACATCTTAAGACAAATCTGATATCTCAATAAGACATATAGGAGAGTCACCCCTTAGTATCATGATGCTAGAGTAAACTCTGTCAGGGCCATAGCCATGTGGGCAGCACACTGATGTGAAGGCACAATTGCACCTCAGGCAGTATGGGTTCATATCCCAGCTAAAGTTACTTTCCTGCTCCTGTTCAATTCTCACCTTTTCTCAGTCCAACTGTTTCCTGTCTCTACTCCTATACTGTCCTGACCATTAAAGGTGAAAAACCCCATTGCAAACATTAAACAGTAAAACATTTTTATAATGGAGTCTTGCAAGAGATTACAGCAATAAATCTCCCATGTTTCTCTCCCATTGTAATTTTGGATTCCTTTCAGAACTTTCTCATGTCTCAGTTTAGTCTACTTTTATTTCTCGTAAGGATTTTTAGGAGAAACATCTAAAACACTGTTGAGACTAAAATGAGCAATAAAATATTCCTATAATGGAGTCTTGATAGAGATTGCAGCAAGATAATAAAGAGATATTCTATGTTTCTTCCACCATACTCAGTTTTGACTTTTTTTTCTCAAATATTTCTCATGTCTCATTTGTGTCTACTTCTATTTCTAACTTCTATTTAAAGCAACCACTGAGCAATAAATGTTTCCTATGGGTTGGACAAACCATAGCAATACAGTGGTTTTAAGTCATGTACCATATTAGTCCCTTGTGAAAAGGAAGTGTGCTTAATTGTACAGAATGTGCACTTTTAGTCAATTCTCAGAAGTATATTTAAAAAAAAAACTGTACTTACATATAACATAATATTAATGAAATAAAAGGCCACTTAAGTGTACTTAAAGAGAGTACACTTGCATGATCATATCTGTCTCTGAACACCCTTACGTTCACTTTTAAATAGTAGACATTGTCAGTACAACCCATTGTGTCATCACAATTTCCCCATCCAGTTAGGCACATCAACAATAACTCCTTCAAAAACAGACAGAAATCTTGGAGTTACGATTGATGATCAGCTGATTTTCTTAGACCACATTGCTAAAACTGCCCAGTCCTACAGATTCTGCTTTATTCAACATCAAGAAGATCTCAGGCCCTTTCTTTCGGAACATACTTCACAACTCCTTGTTCAAGCTATTGTTCTGTCCAGGCTGGACTATTGCAATGCTCTCTTGGCAGGTCTTCCAGCCAATTCGATCAAACCTTTACAATTAATCCAGAACTTTAATTTAATTAAATTTTTAATGAGCCGAAAAGAATGCACGTCACACCTCTGTTTATCAGTTTGCACTGGCTACCAATAGCTGCTCGCATAAAATTCAAGGCATTAATGTTTGTTCAAAACCACCACTGGCTCTGCACCCCTTTACCTAGATTCATTACTTCAGACTTACAGTATGTACTCTCTAGAAGCTTGTGTTCTGCAAATGAACGTCGCTTTATTGTGCCATCCCAAAGAGACACAAAATCCCTTTCACAGGCTTTTAAATTAAATGTTCCCCCGGGTGGAATGACCTGCCCAAATCAATCCGAGCAGCTGAGTCTTTAGCCATCTTCAAGAATCAGCTAAAAACACATTCCTTCCATCTTTATTTGACCCTGTAATTCTAGCACTATCTATTCTAATTCTATTCTTTAAAGAAAAGAAAAAACTTGCCCCTTTTAGACTTGCACTTTATTCATTTACTAACTGCTTGTTTTCTTTAAAAAAGAAAAAGTTGGCTCTATTCTTTTTCTATTCTATCTATCTTTTTTATTTATTATATAATTTAAAGAAAACCTTGCTGCATTAAGATAACTGTGACTTGTTATAGCACTTGCATTTTATTGCTCTCTTGTTGATTTTGATACCTTCCATTGTCCTCATTTGTAAGTCGCTTTGGATAAAAGCATCTGCTAAATGGCTAAATGTAAATGTACATTCAGCAGTACACTTTATTTCAAGTTTATTTGTATAGCGCTTTTCACGATACAAATCGTTGCAAAGCAACTTTACAGCAAATTAAGTTTCTACAATATTTAGTGGTAGCTTATCAGTGGTGACTGTCAGTTAATGTACATATGGCAGAAATGTATGGAAAAATCAATTAAAGACGTAATCAAACAGATGATGAACACTATTAACAGCAATTATTATATGGTGCAATCAAACTTATAGCAAAATTTGGTAGTTCTGTATGTTTTCTCAGGGTTGGCATCATCTGAGGTCCTCTGAGGGGTTGGCATCATCTCTTCTCAGGTGTTCTGGATCCAGACTGAAGCTTGTGTAAATCCTTCATCCCGTGCAAAAACTGAGAAACAAATAGAGACATAATTAGCGTAGCTGCTGTTCCAACCAAGCAAAATTGATTTGTTTAACACAAGCTAAAAAATAATAATGTGCATTTGATCAGATATAACTGCAGTACAAGATTATGAGATGCATTATTTGAATGCTTGGCCAAAGAGATGAGTCTTTAATCTAGATTTAAACAGAGAGAGTGTGTCTGAACTCCAAACGTTATCAGGAAGGCTATTCCAGAGTTTGGGAGACAAATGCGAAAAAGCTCTACCTCCTTTAGTGGACTTTGCTATCATAGGTACTAGCAAAAGTCCAGAGTTTTGCAGCCTTAGGGAGCGTGATGGATTGTATCGTGGTAGAAGACTAGTTCGGTACGCAGGAGCTAAGCCATTAAGGGCCTTATAGGTAAGTAATAATATTTTGTAACTGATACGGAACTTAATAGGTAGCCAGTGCAGAGACTGTAAAATTGGGGTAATATGATCATATTTTATTGACCTGGTAAGGACTCTAGCTGCTGCATTTTGGACTACCTAATTTTAAATTATTGGTCATCCAATCTTTTACATTTTTAACACACTCTGTTAGCTTAGATAATTTAGAAGTTTCATCTGGTCTTGTTGAGATATATAGTTGAGTATCATCAGCATAACAGTAGGACCTAATCCTGTATTTTCTAATAATATTACCAAGGGGCAACATGTATACTGAAAATAGCAGAGGACCTAGGACAGATCCTTGAGGCACTCCATATTTTACTGGTGATAATTGCGATGACTCCCCATTTAAATGAACAAAGTGGTAGCGATCGGACAAGTAGGATCTTAACCATCTTAAACTTTAATCATATTTCAAAAACAGTAGAAGTAATTATGAAATTACATATAAACAGTCACACTTAAGTATATTCCAAGTATAATATTTCCACATTAATAAGTTATCTTTCTAAAAGTATGCTAAAAATATGTTTCTATTTCATAAAGGGTACAATGTTATTCTTTGATTGATCGTGGTAATTCTATGTTTAGACATAGACCATGGAAGAACTACGGTATTCTTTGAAGCACCTTGGACTACTACCACATGAATATGAATATTATAGTCATGCAACTTCCAAACTAAGTTTGGACCTATATTTTTGATGATGATGATTATGATGTAATTTTTTCATGTGTTTTTAAAATATTTGTTTCTAGAGTAAACCCACCAGTGAGTCGGCTGTGAGTAGCACAGGGGACCCCATGCATCACAAACGCTCCAAACTCAAACCAGATGAGGAGCCGCCCAGCCCCGGAATCGTTAGCGCGCAGGTACGCACATGTGCACATATATGTATAGGACAAAAAAAAAAACACACACACACACCACCAAAAAAAAAACCCCTCATGGAGTCAGTTCCCGAACACGCAGCAAGAGCTTTGGGACCAATTATGTGACGTACTGTAAAGCAATTTATTTGCGTGTTTGATTTGGCTGTTGTGGCACTGCTTCAGATGCGATAAGCCCCATTGATCTCCACAGCTTCAGAAGGAAATTGTTTTTCTTTTAATCAGATGATTAACTGAATGGAAAAATGAAAGAAAAATTAGATGACATATTTTCTACAATGCCACTTATAACTGATGGTTGGACGACTGCTGGATGGCATAAATGGACCTCCGTCTTTTATTTTTTACTTCATGATTTTTCAATTTGTTTTTTCTTAAGGCCCATTTCTGTAGATTTTTTTTTTAAATTATTATTATTTTAGAATAATACAAATAAAAGCTGTCATTCATTCTTTCTGTCTCTCTCTCTCTCTTAACAGACAGTGAAATATATTTAGAACAATGCAGCGGTGATTTAAAGGGGGTTTAAGTCTTTAAATGGCCTAAACCCCTCATATACAGTATCTGCTTGAATTCAGACTGGTATTTTTAGTGCTGCTATTCTATAATTCTTGTACTCTACAGATGTCCATGTTGATAGACAGGCAGATGTAGCAGCACACAAGAACTTCTCTCTAAATAGACCTAATTAGATATACTGTATAACTGACTTTTGAAACCACCTCTGAATTCACAAATCCTGATTTCTATTTCCAAAGCTGTTAACACTTCTAGAACTGCCAATTCTACATAATTTGTGGCATCTACCGAGCAAAGTGCTCTTTCCAGGGCATTATAGGATTTTTTTTTCTTTTATAAAAAGAATAACATCCCTGTAAAGGCATACAGCAAAATATTTTCTCAAGAGACATTCCAAATGTCAGAAGCATTTTTATTAAGTTTAGCATTGTGTTCATGATACAAATAAGGTACGAGGTCTCATCTAGCTGTCATGTACTCAAAATAACATAATTTATCATCGTCTGCACCATTGAATAATGTACATTTACCAGGCCACACATACATTTTATCTCAGAATGAAGTAATTCCCTACATGCTGCAGTAATACACATTAGCATATATACGTTTTCAAAATGAGCCTTTGCACTATCAGCAATAAACAGTGACAAAGCGATTAAATATCTTTAATTGTGATGAAAGTTGCTGATTTGATGCAACAAAAACAGCTGTTGACAGAGTTCAACTTTATCCTAATGAGCAGTGATAACACTTTTCCTTAGTCAAGTCAAGCCAAGTCAAGTCACCTTTATTTATATAGCGCTTTTAACAATACAGATTGTCAAAGCAACTTTACAGCATTAAATAGGAAAATAGTGTGTCAATAATGCAAAATGACAATAGTAAACACTCAATTTTCAGTTAAAGGCAGTTCATCATTGAATTCTGTGATGTCATCATCCAGCACAGTTCAGTTTAAATAGTATCTGTGCAATCAAGTCGATGATATCACTGGAAATTAAGTGTCCCCAACTAAGCAAGCCAGATGCAACAGCAGCAAGGAACCAAAACTCCATCGGTGACAGAATGGAGAAACAATCTTGGGAGAAACCAGGCTCAGTCGGGGGGGCAGTTCTCCTCTTGCCAGACGAAACCAGCAGTTCAATTCCAGGCTGTAGCAAAGTCACATTGTGCAGAGGACTCATCTGGTTCCTGTGGTCTTGTCCCAGTAGCCGTCTAGGAGACAAGGTCTTCACTGGGTATCTGTCTCTGGGGCTCATCTCTGCTGACATTCAGGGCTGTCAAGATCATCTCTAGGTGCTGATCCACCATCTGGGCTGGATACGTACTGGATCCGGGTGACTGCGGTGACCATCTGATCTGCATACAGACTGGATCTGGTGGCTACGGTGACCTCAAAATAAGAAAGGAACAGACTAATATTAGCGTAGATGCCATTCTTCTAACGATGTAGCAAGTAGATCGGTTTAATGGGAAGTGTTCCCGGTTCCGGTTGTTCTAATTAAAGGGGTCATATGATGCGATTTAAATTTTTCCTTTCTCTTTGAAGTGACACAAGCTCTTGGTGCATGAAGAAGATCTGTAAAATTGCAAAGACTATAGTCTCAAATCCAAAGAGATATTCTTTATAAAAGTTAAGAGTCAAACACGCCCCCACATGTCACAATGTGGGAAGATTTACATAATGCCCGTCACATGTGGTTGCCGCAAGCCCACCGGCCGCTCCTTCGTCGAATCCGCCGGCCGCGCCGTTCTCAAGCCCACCAGCTGCCGCTCACTCTAGCTGCCGGCCGTTCCTCACTCAAGCCCGCCGTGTGTGACGCTGTGTGTTTTGTTGTGAAAGTGAAACTACTTTGTTTGGCCTTCCAAAAGAGGACAGGACTAGAAATCAGTGGTTAAGTTGTATTTACAACACTGTTCCAGAACAGTTCAACCCAAATATTCAGATGTGTGCAGCACATTTTATGGAGGACTGTTTCCTGATCCTGTGAGAGTAGACTACAATGCCGGCTGTTCTGACTCACAGACTGTAAGTAAGTTTTTTATATTAAAGAATTTGCCACTGACGATTCAAACACGAGTTTTGAGCAGTGTAGAGTAGCGCTTGTTGTTTTTCATTTCTCCGATTACAAATGCAGACATGGTTTTATGTTTACGCTGCACGATGCAATGAGTAAAAAGACAGTATATTTAATTATAATCCGCAATTATGTCCCCATTGGATGCAACAAATGCCTCGTTTATAATGGGTTTTAATATTTTTGTCTCGTCGCTCCGGCCGGACAGGGCATCACAGTATGGTAAGGGGCGTAACATTTCGGTCACACGCTTGAAGTATTCAGCCAATCACAACGCACTGGATAGCTGGCCAATCAGAGCACACTTTTCAGACCGATGAGCTTTGTAAAAATCGACGCGTTTCAGAAAGGCGGGGCATAGAGGAGAAACAATAATGTACAGTATATGGAAAATAATGTTTTTTTTTAACCTTAAACCGCATTAACACATTTCATTACACCAAACTGACACAAAATAATGTTCTTTTTAGCAACTTCATATGACCCCTTTAATGCAGCCTAAAAATCCTTTAACGGATTTGAATATTAGAAATATGTTAGTGTGTTTTGTGTAAGCCAGGTTAAAGAGATGGGTCTTTCATCTAGATTTAAACTGACAGAGTGTGTCTGCCTCCTGAACAATGTTAGGTAGGTTATTCCAGAGTTTGGGTGCTAAATAGGAGGAGGATCTGCCACCCACAGTTATATATTAGGTATTAGGCAGATATTCTAGGTTTTATCAAATTGCCAGAGTTTTGAGAACGCAGGGGACGTGGAGGACTAATGCAATAAGAGCATTCAAATACTGAAGTGCTAAATCATTCAGGGCTTCATAAGTAATAAGCAAGATTTTAAAATCTATACAATGTTTAATAGGGAGCCATTGCTGTGTTGACAGAACCGGGCTAATATGGTCATACTTCCTGGGTCTAGTAAGAACTCTAGCTGCTGCATTTTGGACCAGCTGGAGTTTGTTTATTAAGCGTGCAGAACAACCACCCAATAAAGCATTACAATAATCTAACCTTGAGGTCATGAATGCATGAATTAAAATTTCTGCATTTGACATTGAGAGCATAGGTCGTAATTTAGATATATTTTTGAGATGGAGTTTTACAAATGCTAGAAACATGACTTTCAAAGGAAAGATTCTTATTAAATAAAAAAAAAAATTAAATTCAAGTTTATTTGTATACCGCTTTTCACGATACAAATCGTTGCAAAGCAGTAAAGTCCAGAATTTTGTGACCTTAGGGAGCGTGATGGATTGTAGCGTGGTAGAAGACTAGTTAGGTATGCAGGAGCTAACTCATTAAGGGCCTTATAGGCAAGTAATGATATTTTGTAACTGATACGGAACTTAATAGGTAGCCAGTGCAGAGACTGTAAAATTGGGGTAATATGATCATATTTTCTTGAACTGGTAAGGACTCTAGCCGCTGCATTTTGGACTACCTGTAGCTTGTTTATTGAAGATGCAGGACAACCACCTAGCAGTGCATTACAATAGTCCAGTCTAGAGGTCATGAATGCGTGAATTAGCTTTTCTGCATCAGAAACAGGTAACATTTTTCGTAGCTTGGCAATGTTTCTAAGATGGAAGAATGCTGTCTTTGTAGCATGGGAAATATGATTTTCAAAAGACAAGTTGCTGTCTAATATAACACCCAAATTTCTGACTGTAGAGAAAGTAACAGTACATCCGTCTAGTGGCAAATTGGAATCCATGAGTTTCTGTGTACTGTTTTTTGGTCCAATAAGTAATATCTCTGCCTTATCCGAATTTATTAGGAGAAAATTATTGGTCATCCAATCTTTTACATTTTCAACACACTTTGTTAGCTTAGATAATTTAGAAGTTTCATCTGGTCTTGTTGAGATGTATAGTTGAGGATCATCAGCATAACAGTGGAAACTAATCCCCTATTTTCTAATAATATTACCAAGGGGCAACATGTATATTGAAAATAGCAGAGGACCTAGGACAGATCCTTGTGGCACTCCATATTTTACTGGTGATAATTGAGATGACTCCCCGTTTAAGTAAACAAAGTGGTAGCGATCGGACAGGTAGGATCTAAATTCTTCTGATGACGAAGAATTGACAGAGCAGCCATCAAGTGTTAGACAGTGTTCTAGGTCATTACATGCGGAGGTTTTAGGTCCGATAATAAACACTTCTGTTTTTTCAGAATTTAGCTGTAAGAAATTACTCATCATCCAGTTTTCTATATCGACTATGCATTCCGTTCAAATTGGTATGTTTCGCCGGGCCGAGAAGAAATATAGAGCGGAGTATCATCAGCATAACAGTGAAAGTTTCCTAACACCGTGTTTCCTGATGATATCTCCCAAGGGTAACATGTAAAGCGTGACAAGTAACTGCCCTAGTACTGAGCCTTGAGGTACACCATACTGCACTTGTGATTGACATGATACCGCTTCATTTACTGCTACGAATTGATGGCAGTCAGATAAGTACGATTTGAACCATGCTAATGCACTTCCACTAATGCAACAAAGTTTTCTAGTCAATTCAAAAGAATGTTGTGGTCAGCAGTGTCAAATGCAGAGCTAAGATCCAGTAGCACTAATAGAGAGATACAATCACGATCAGATGATAAGAGCAGGTCATTTATAACTCTATGGAGACCAGTCTCAGTACTATGATACGGTCTAAATCCTGACTGGAAATCCTCACAGATACCATTTTTCTGTAAGTAGGATATAATTGTGAGGATACTACCTTTTCTAGTATCTTGGACAGAAAAGGGAGATTCGAGATCGGGCTTTAATTAACTAGTTCTTTGGGGTCAAGTTGTGTTTTTTTGACGAGAGGCTTAATAACAACCAGTTTGAAGGTTTTGGGGACATATCCTAATGACAAAGACGAATTAATAATGGTCAGAAGAGGATCTATGATTTCTGGAAGCACCTCTTTTAGGAGCTTAGATGGAATAGGGTTTAACATACATGTTGTTGGTTTAGATGATTTAACAAGTTTATAAAATTTTTCCTCTCCTATAGTATATAATGAGTGGAATTGTTCTACAGGGGATCTATAGCACACTAGCTGAT